CTTTCATATTGTTCTGTGGTGTTACTAATATTGTTTTCTTTTGTTCTTTTGTCCTTTTGTCTTATTGAGCCGAGGGTCTTTCGGAAACAGCCTCTCTACTCCTTCGGGGTAGGGGTAAGGTCTGCGTACACACTGCCCTCCCCAGACCCCACTAGTGGGATTACACTGGGTTGTTGTTGTTGTTGTTATTGTAATCTCTTTTTAACTATTCCAGGTTTCCTTATAATACTTTAAAATCGTGATCAAAGGGTGTGTAAGTCTTAACTGTTGGCAAGTTATTATTATGTTTTTTAAATTTATAAATGATGTTATTTGTGAAATGACCTAAAATAAGATTGTTTATCCTTGCTTGATCGACAAAATAGAGTAACAAGAATCAAGCATCAAGAAAATACATTTTAACCTTGTATTGGAATTTTTATTTCTTCACTGGATTCTAGAAACATAAATTCCACAAATTGAATGGAAAAAGAATCTTATTATAACTCACTCCTCTCGTGTGGTAAATCAATTGAAAATGCCATGACAGAAAAAATTAGCGAATTTTCTGCAAGTGTCTATTGCTTTTACTACTGGATTTTAAGAGAAAGATTTCCTTTTTACCTAGTTTCAATGTCCTGTTTACTATGGTGGAAGGAAAGATTTGTACTTCACAAGTATGGGTTGAAAAGGTGCAACAGAGAATTTCGTCTTGAAAAGCAAAATGTTGTCTCGGGGAGGAGGATTATCTTAGTTAAATATGTGCTTCAAAGTCTTCCAATGTATATGCTTTTAGTCATCGACCTCGAAAAAACAAATGGCAAGGTCCCAAGGGAAGTTTTATGAAGGTGTTTGGAGGCTAAAGGTGTACTTGTAGCATACACTAGGCGATTAAGGACATGCATGATGGAGCTAAGACCCAGGTGAGAACAATAGAAGAAAACTCGGGACACTTCCCAATCGTGATGGGGCTACACTAAGGATCCGCTCTTAGCCCATTTCTATTTGCCTTGATGATGGATGTATTGACGCGGTACATTAAAGGGGAGATTCCATGGTGCATGTTATTTGCAAATGACATAGTACTGATTGACAAGACGCGAAGCAGAGTTAACGCTAGGCCGGAGGTTTAGAGGCAGACTCTAGACTCTAGAGTCTAAAGGTTTCATGTTGAGTAGGACTAAAATATAATACTTGGAGTGCAAGTTCAGTGACGCAATTCAGGAGGCTGACGGAGAGATGAGGCTGGATTCACAAGTCATCACCAAGAGAGGACCTTAAGTCAGTTATACAAGGTAATGGGGAGATTGACGAGGATGTCACGAATCGTATTGGACCGGGATGATGGATGAAATGTAGGCTAGCATCCGGTCTTTTGTGTGATAAAAATGTGCCACCAAGACTTAAAAGGTAAGTTCTAGAGAGTGATAATTAGACCGACTATATTGTATGGGACGGAATGTTAGCCGGTTAAGAACTCTCACGTCCAGAAGATGAAAGTGGCGGGGATGATGATGTTGAGATGGATGTGTGGGCATACTAAGAAAGATATGGTTAAAAATGAATATATTCGAGGCAAGGTGGGCATAACCTCCCTGGCGGACAAAATGTAGGAAGTGAGGTTGAGATAATTCGGGCATGTGAAGAGGAAATGTTTGGATGCCCCGGTAAGGAGATGTCAGAAATTGGATATAGTGGGCTTGAGGAGGGGTAGAGGCAGGCCGAAAAAGTATTGAGGAAAGGAAATTAGGTAAGACATGGCGCATCTTCAGCTTAGAGAGGACATAACCCTTTATAGGAAAGTGTGAAGGTCGAGGATCAGGGGTGATAGGGAGTCGAGCGTCTTTCCTTTCATCCCAGTAGTGACAGTGTTATTCTCGTATTTTTATATTATTAGATTCATATTACTATCTAACGATGTTGTGTTACCGTATTACTATTATCTTGTTGTTACTGCTTCTTTGACTTTTCCACTACTGCATAGCTTTTCTCTATATTATTATGTTTATGCATGCTTGCTTTGAGCCGAGGGTTTATGGGAACTAGCATCTTTGCTAGCACAAGGTAGGGGTAAGGTTGTGTACTCTCTACCTTCCCCAGACCCCACCTGTGGATTACACTGAGTATGTTGTTGTTCTTGTTGTTGTTGTGTGAAACAAGCGCACAAAGGAATTACTTTGAGCATCATTTGTAATTACACAAATATTGTCAAAGGAGAACATATTTGTTGTTCCACGAAGAGCTAGAAACTCACATATTTGGAGATCTATGTTAAGAGCTAGAAACCCACATATTTAGAGAGCTATGTTAAGAGCTAGAAATGAGATTGATGAATATATATATATATATATATATATGGTGGAACTACATGAATGCAATTTGGATTTTTGGAATGATAACTAGTCAAGATTAAGATCCTTGAGCAAAATAGGACTACCTAATGATGGTTTACCCAATCAAAAGTTGCAGTGCCAGAAACTATGTGGGGAATAAAATAGGTTAAGGGTGGTATGAGTTCTTGCAATATACAAGGTTGGAGGTCAATAGTGGTACTAGAATCAAATTCTGGTTAGCTGTTTGGATTGGAGATGAAAATCTCAAAAGTGATACCAAAATCTCTTTAGTTGTGCTATGTATAAGGAGGGATACACTGCATATTTTAGTCTAAATTCAGGCCGGCATAAAAGGAACTTGAGAGTTTCTGCCAAATGCTTCAACAGCCGAACACATGCCTAATTGATATGGAAAAAGTAGACAGTGTAATTAACTATTCGCAGTCAATAATTGCTATAAGATACTACTGCAACAGAATAGTCAAGGAATTTCCAATTGGCCATGGAAAATGATTTGGAAAACCAGGGGCACCTGTGAAAGAAGCTTGTTTTGTTGGATAGCAGCTAAGGGGCTTGTTTAACTCAGAGCGATTTGAAAAGGAGAACCTCTCCTTGTGTAGTGGGTGCTTGTTTTGCAGCAGTGATCAGAAACAGTGGAGCATTTATTCCTACATTGCATAATTTCAAGACAATGATGGAAACTTTTCCTTAATATTATGGGTGTATCTTTGATTATACCACAGAAGTTCAATAGTCTTTTGGAAGTTTGGCAGTCTCAAAGGGTTAAAAGTAATTTGGAGTTGATATGGAGGACTATTACCAATTGCATAATGTGGACAGTTTGCCTGGAAAGAAACAAAGCATGCTTTGAGGGGTAGACGCTGCAGATTGCTAGAGTCAAAAACAAATATATCAAGAATTTATATTTTTCGGTATTATAGTAGTACTCTAGATAGGATGGACCAATATTTGGATTTTCTGTATCTTTTAGGGAAAAACATGGAGTAAGATTGATGGGGTTTTGCTATCTTGTTTTATACTTGTTTCTTTACCATCTTGGTACCAGTTTAATAAAAGAATTTATCTATCAAAAACAAGGTGCTAGAATTCTTTGATGGAGACCAATGGGATATAGGAAGCTTCAAAAAGCTTCAAGAACTTTGTGTACACTTGATTAAAGAATTTCCAACATTGCCATGTGATGGGCAAAGGGATTCACCTGTTTGCTACTAGCACTCCAAGTTTAGAGCTAGGTGTTCTAAGAAAAAGGTAAAATGAAACTTTATTTAAGTCATGTGTGGTCCACCATGTTTAACATGAGTTGCCAGTGTGAAGTCAATAATAGCAAGAAGTTAAAGGACTCCACAATATTCAGCGCAGGTTTTTTTCTCCCTGTATATAGTACAAATTGGCAAACTACTTTCAGTACTTCTATAGGCCTTAAGTACATACGCAACAAATTGGATCCTTAACAATCAAAGGCCAACGGTGTTACTAAACCCAGAACATAGTTATTTCTCTCAATCAGCTATCTCTAAAAATTGGTTTATTTACACAAATAAGAAACATAAATTGCAAAAAGCGTTCTATTATGTTCAATTTAGCTATTGACAATGTTAGGTTTACACTATTTTTCGTGAATAGAAAAAGATTTAGTCCGAGATTCACTGAACTTTGGAAAAGGGAGATATTACCTTGGTGAAAAAATACAAGACACCGAGGGCGATGACCTACGAGAGGTAGAAGATACAGACTTCGAAGAGAATTGGTGTTGCACTACTATGTTGGCTGGTGTCTATGCGTTCGTGAGAGAGGGAAATGGAAAAGCAAAATTTGTTTTGTCATTGAAGAGAGAAGGAGAAGCCAAAAATATCAGCCGTGAATGGTTTGGGGCGGATTGCTCAATTTTCTTATCGGATAAATCTCTAATTTCTAATTCTGAATTGAATTCATTATGAAGTACATTATGTAGGATAATTTGATGGGCAAGCGCCCCTTCTTTCAAAGAGAGAAGGACGGGTTATTCACATTTCGTTTGATTCAGATCAATTCAATTTTTAATGTAACTTTTCAAATTTTAGGTAAGTAAAACAATAATTTGACCTTTACAACTCTTTTGATAAGGCGTTAGTAAGTCCGGCGTTAGAAAACTAATAATTTTAACATATAAACCAGATGTAAATTCAACATATAAAGAGTAAAATAAACAGTTATACAGATGTCACACCTCCTTTTTCCCGAGGGGATAAGGAATTTTTCCAATTAAAGTGACAATAATCGAATTGGGATTATTTATTAGATTCAAAGTCGCCACTTAGGATAATTTATGGTGTCCCACTATGTTGCTCGGACTCTCCGAAAATGTTGTCGGGTGCGTGTTGAATCCTCCAAAAATAGTGTATTTTGGAGGATTCGACACGGGTGCGGCATAATTTTAGAGAGTCCGCGCAACATAGGTGTCCCAAGTCACCGGTTAATTTTAAATACCAAATCGAGGAAATTGACTATATTTATGGTCTGCGGACACAAAAGACCGGGTAAGTAATTCTATTAACCCGAGAGAAGGTGTTAGGCATTCCCCGTTCCGTGATTTTAGCACGTTCGCTTTAATCATACATGGCTTAATCAATTTATTTAATTACGTGTTTTAGAACCTGTGTGCTCTTTTCATTTTACCGCTTTTAATTAAGAAATTAACCTGAAACGAGTCACGCGTACGTGTACTCATTTTGTTCGGCGCGTCAAGAATCATGTCACGTGTACGTGTACACAATTAATCACGCTTTTTAATATTAAGAATGTTTGGCCGAAGTTGCGCAAACGCATACCTCGATTTAATTTTGGAAATCGTAATTATGTCACGAGAACGTGTACACAATCACAATGATAGATTAAATCATGTCTAAAGCATTTTCTACGAATATTCATTTTAAATCGTACTGAGTCACGCGAACATGTACACAATTAATAACATTTTATTATTATAGAGATTGTTTGCCCAAATTCACGCGAACGTGTACCTTGGTTTTAGTTTTGAGAATCATAACTATGTCACACTAACGTGTACATAATCACGATAACTTATTTATTATTACACGCCTAAAGCATAATAGCAGTAAAAAAGATAATTAAAAACAATTAAATACAAGGAAGAAAATAAATAAGCATACTATGCATGCTCACTTTAGCACCCAAACCCACTTTGTTACTTAAACGAAATTAATCTAAATCTTACTTCCAATTTTTTGGCTTATACCTTGTGTCTTTTCTTGTAGCAATGAGGCCAAATATAAGTATAAGTATTTCTTTTAAAGAGCCAAAGCCAGCCCGTGACTAGCAATGCAGCTAACAGAAGCAAAATCAACAACAATCTGTAGCAAATGAGTAAGAAATATAGCAAAGGTTCCATAGTTGTAAGCAACTCCAAGAAACCGACTCAAAGTAGCACCAGAACAGTGCTTCCGATGGTGCAGTAAACCAATCGAAACCATGGCCTTAAATCAATTACTTTCCAGACAATAACTAATAATTACCAAGCACCGAAGATTTAAAAGACTTTCCCCATAAAATAGCAACAACAGTGAACATATAAGCAACAGAGCAGAACATATATAAAATTAGATTAAACAAACCAAATCCCCCTTTTACTTTGTTATCAAATATCACTGCCAACAGCGAACACCAAGCACAAAAGGAACAAGAATCAGACAACAAATTAAGTTGAAATTCATTTTAGACATAGACTAACACACAAGAACATGAATAAGATAACCATTCAAACTTTAATTCATTTGAAATAGAGAGTAAGATAAAAGAAATGAACCTGCTAAACTGAAATTCCTCTATTGACAATGGAAAAATAAGCAAATGAACACTGCTTCGATCCCAAAAATCCACCGAGAAACAGCAACAAAAATCGAACGGCGGAACCGGAACCCGGAATTTCACCTCGAATTCTCAAAACCTTCGACTTATGTTTTTTTCGATTTCTGTCCAAACACTTCTCCAATTTTTAATTGTTCTCTTATCTTTGAAAATTTTCATGAACAGTGAGCTTTGGCTTTTTTGGGGGGTGGTGCTGCACACTGAAACAGAGACGGAGAGAGCCGCTAGTTTCTCTAGGGTGGTCCGTTCTCTATTCCGAAAATGGGGTGGGAGGCGGAGATTTTGGTAGGGATCCAGGGAAAGGGGAAAAGCTGCTCTCTTTTCGTAGGGGATGAGAGATGCTGGTTTTTTTTTTTTTTGTATGTTAGCTGCTAGGGTTTTTTAGGTGGGGAAGGGATTTGATCTTTTAGAGCGGAAGGGGAATGGGAGGCGGTTCTGCTAGGTCGAGGTTGCGGGGGGAGGTCTGGGGCTGTTGGTGTTGAAGAAGAGCGGAGTGACGTTAGGGTTTTACTTTAAGTATGGGGGTAATGGGCTAAACTTATTTGGGCTAAACGTAATTGGATTGGTCCAAAATTGCTTGAGAAAATTAAAAAAATGAGACTAGTTTTGGAGTTATTCTAACTTTTTAAGTTAAAATTTTAAATATTATTCTAAAAAATATAATGTATTTATAAAATATAAAAATCACTCTTAATTAAAATAAATTACTAAAATAAAATTAAATACTAAAAATGAAATTATTTTTGTATATATTTTAATTTTATGAAGGTAGATAAACTAAAAGTAACTAAATAAAATATCAACCAACTAAATAAGAGAAAATATTTTTGTGATAAAATAAAGTAAAAGGATTGAAACTAGTTAAAATAGCGATATTAGACCTAAACTAAATATTTAAACGCTAAAATATATAAAATCTCGGAGAGGATCAAAAATTACATGTCTACAACAGAAAATCTGGAACAAAATAGATATGCAAAACTATCACCATTCTTTTGTTTCACGCACTTCCTCGGAACTTGCGATTTTATTTTGAAAAATTTTAAGCTTGATGTCTCCTCGCTGCCTCTGCTAATATCACAATTCTTAACTCAATTATTGGTATTTTCTACGTCCCTAACTTATGGTATTACATTCTTTAACCCACGTTTAAGCACGATCATTGCAGCTCGATCTGATCGAATTGAACGGTCATGATAATGTCCATGTCCCTTACAATTTTAAGATTTATCTTAATCATCTCATTGTAAAATAAATACTACAACATTTAACAATTTTATTACTGTCAATGCTCAATAATCAGGGGATTGTCTTGGTAATTAAACTGGTCAGCGCCATGAGCTATCATGTTTGGCTTCACACAACCACTCCCTAATGCCACCAAATACATTGCTGTAAAAAATATTAAAGCTTTGAAACCCTTTGCCTCCACACAATGCTCTACATCAGTTAGCATATTGCAATTTGGCAAAAGCTGTGGCAGGTGAGCTTGGAGTAACAGTAGTATGAAACCCTACAAATTTTACAAGGTACTCGTCAAGACTAGGATTGCTCAAAAAAATTCTATTTGGTTTAGCCGATAAATCGCCCGATAATCGTTAATTCGATACCAATTCGCCTATTGTCTTATTGGATGGCTAGCGGATTACTATATTTATAATCCAATAACCGATAAACCGAACTGTTAAACATAATTATCCGTCTGATCCGCCCGATAAGCACCTAGTAGGAACCATCTAAATTGTCGTATCCTACTGATAATTAGATTTATTTTAATAAATCTACGTTTTTAAATAAATTCATAGCTGTGTCGAATAATTAGGTAATTTAATTTTATAAAGATAAATCAAAATATTACCAATTGAATAAAAATATATATTATATATTATATTTAGCAATAACAAAGGATTAATTTTTTTTCCTTGGGCACGGGTATTTAACACTCAAAGTCTCAACTTCCAAACATATCCTGCTACTCCAATTGAAGCTAAATTAGTTTCAGCACCTTGAGTAGCAAGGCACAAGTTATTAGATATATCTTTCCTCTTATATGGTTCAGATTTCCCTTATTGGATACTTAATCTTCTAATATACTCTATTATTGAGTCCCAACTTGATTAATATCTTCTCACTCGTGTAATTTATATCATTTTTATCTCTAATTAAATTGTTTTACGCTATTGTATGTGTACCCGTAAAATAGTATATTTAATTTTATTACGTGGTATAGACAAGCGAACTAATTTGATCTAAAAATGATAAGAAATAAGATTAAAAATGAGATTTAGCAATTGAAGTTGAAGAAGATGATAAGTTCGGCTCCGGGTGCAATGCCTCTGAGGACAAAAGTGAAAGCAATGATAAAGAACAAGTACAGTTATTTAATTGAGAGCAAAAGTAAAATACAACATATGTTTGCAAAGAATTTCCTTCCTTACAATGGCTGTTGAGCCTACAATTTATAGCCTTACCTAAGGAAAAAGATCCTAGGATCAAGCTCATCTTAAATAATAATAAAAGAGTCATTGATGAGCACGTCACGGCAGGCCATGATGCAAATATACTCTACAACGGTCCCTCATTTAATGTGAGAAAATATTTTTTCATTGAATGCTATCCGATTGCAAATACTTGATCTTCTCTCATTTACCATGCTCCCTTCGGGATTTACCCGATGTCGGTTAAAATTGTTATATTCGGTATTAGTCGTTATTTGACTTGACTTTTACCTATTTTTGGTTCCATGTGTCAGGCTACCATTCGACCATTTATTATAAATTAATTTTTCTCCATACAGATAGTCTCCCTACTTTCCAGTGACATATATTTGCATTACTGGAAAGTTGGTGAATATCCATTTCTTGGCGGGAAAGTTCCTCAACAGTCACTGACGCTTGAAAGGACGCACATCTTCTCGCACTTAATACCTTGAACACGTGTTGCCCCGTGATTCAGCAAATATTTTCGTTGGTTTTGAGGTAATCATGACAACAATTTTTGTCGTCTATAACTTCCCTTTTACTCGTTATTTTCACTTCTTTACTTCCAAAATTTTCATAAGCCTTTCTTCCTCTTTTCATCTTTCTTAGAAAATTTTCCACCTTCTTCAAATCTCTTAGCAAAAGTTTTAGTGGCCCTTTATTACCATGGCTTCTTTCACTGCACTCTTTGGAAACTCAGGTCTTCTTTTCAGTGGAGGCCCAAAGAAAAATAATAATAAAGAAGTTGATGTCGATTATGAACCTTTCACTGTAAGCACCATCATACCAAAACATCTCAGTACTTCTAACAACTTCCATGAGAAGGCCACATATGCATCTTCACGGACTTGGCTTATTAGTAGGTATCCCTCTTCCATTCGCCCTTCTAGTATCCTAACTATGAAGGAGGACTGCAACTACCATAATCTTAAAATCCTCGCTCTGGATATGATAAAGTGGGTTACCTTCACCAAGGTGGGTTTTATGTATGTCTATATGTATACCTTTACCTTAGGTCCATTCTCCCTAGGTCAAATGAAGAGTTCGACCCCATTATTTTGGAATTTTGCTACCGGTACCAGGTCTGCTTAGAACAAGTAAACCCATCTATATGGCGAATGGTGGATTGCCTTCGTCAACTGTGCATGGAGACTGGGAAAACCCTAACCCTTACACACATGATAAATTTCTACTTTCCCAGAATTTTTCGTGAGGGAATAATAAACTTCAGCAAACATGGCCACCACGTTCTTCTCACCAGTTTGGTGATGACAAGGATCGCATGTGGATGGAGCGATTCGTTATCATCGCTACCAGGGACATAATCCCAGCCACAACTCCGTCTTTTCCTGAGTCGTGGAATTGCTTTCGTAAGTTTTTGATTTATTCATTTCCATCATTCGTGAAAAGATTGTTTTTCGTTGTTGCTGATCTTCTTGTTTCTTTTGTTACAACTACCCGATAGGAACCACCATGGGTTCAAGGCTTGGACTAGTGGGTCCAGAAAATTCTGGAAATCACAATACCAGAATTCCGCTGGTGGAAGGAAATGGCCCTCAAATATGGGTGAAAGGCCAAAAATCATGGTAAACCAAGTCTTTCTTCCTTTTATGTTTGTATGAACATAGGTAACTTCATGAAAAAGTTGTTAACTCCCTTTTCTTCTTGATTCAGGACTTCCACAGGGCTCTGTCACCTATTCCGAGGTTGACATTTTAGCTGACCCCGAAGAGGCTAGGAGGGCACTACAAAGTGCCCTTGCTCAAAGCAGTCTGCTTCTAGTGAGGGTGCCTCCTATCGAAGTCCCCAACAAAAGAATAAGAAACCAAAAAGACAACATTCTTCCTCGGCTGGGACTCAAAAGAAGAAGATAAAGAAAGCAACGACCGAGCCGACCATAGTAGTTTTATAGATGATGGGGGAAGCTAGTGATGAGGTGGTTTCCCTTTAAAGGATAAAAATATCTTGATAGGCTCAACCGGATGCTCATCTGGGGAGCTTCAAAACCCAACCGTAGAAGAAGCCCAACACTTTAGGGCGAGATTGACTTGGTGGATAATGTTGATTCTCGCTTCCCATCCCCCATTGTTGCCTCCGGACTAAGGAGCTCGGACACTTGGCCCCTTCTGCATTCGACCACTGAGCAAATAATAATCAGCACTACCCCTATCACAACTGCTTCTCATCCTTCCACACCAACAATTTCACTTCCATCGACACTAGTTGCTACTTCGCCACCAACACCAACTACATCTCCTCCACCGGTCATAGACGATCGAGAAAGGAATGTTGAGCTTGATTCTTGCCTTAGTGCCCTAAGATCCTAAAAGGACGGTCTTTAGGCTGAATTTGATAAGCTTCACGCAAAGCTCCAAGACCAAAAAGATTCCCTCGTTTTTTAGAAAACTTATGCTATATATCATAAGAGGCCAAAGTGCGCATCGCTAATATAGATGACTATATTGCCAAGGCCCAAGAACTGGAGCTATCTGCTCGGGAACGCCTTCCCGCTCGGCCCACTGCAACTGACTCATTGAGTATTAGTTATGAGTATTCGGGCACCGAATGGGAGATTTGAAGAACATGAAGATGAAGGCCCCGAACCGGTAACGGATCCACCTTCCTCTACCGGGGGAAACGTAGATCCCTCTCTCCTTTCGGGCTCCGGCGGCGATGATGCATAGTTTTTTTTTCTTTCCTTTTTTTGTACTCTGTAATTGTTCTAAATCTTTCACCAAGTTTGGCACTTGATAAATAAATAAGGAATTTTTGCTTAAGTGTCATGCAAAATATATTCCCTTTGCATTGAATTGATTAAAGCTTCGGTTATATTTTCATCTGATAGCTTTTTATTCCGGGTATAAACTCTTCTAGAACCAACTTTTACTATGAGGGTTTCATAAGAGAGGGCTCTCTTATGTTTACGGTTCTATTGAAGAGGACGTCTCATGTTCATTTCGGCACAAGCATTTGTAGTTTTTGTTAACTTTCAAACGATAAAATCAACTCATCA